TCTGTATAAATAGACTGTATTGTTCTCTCAGTTTTTGGAGCCTACCATGAATGCATGACTTGAACTTTGTGATCTGTAATAGGACTGTCAAAATATGCTGTTTTGATCTTAAGATTATTTATGTTAGTTAGTGGGATTGGTTTCATTGACTAGGCAAAATCCGTTTTCTGTCATTAAATTTTTATATTCATTGTTACTACCACTGTCCTCTAATAAATTTATATTCATATCTCCCACTATATGAGTAGATTTTGCAATATCGTGTAGCATTATCCAAATCATTCAAAAACAAGTGCAAATTAGCTGAAGGAGGTCTGTATACTGCAACAATGTTAATTTCAAATTTGGGCTTAGACACTTTAACAATTTACCAATTGCAGCTATTTTTATATTTATTTTCCTCAATTTCCAATTTCAAATCATTCCTTACATAGATTGAGACTCTTCCCCCTCTGGTTCGTCTACAGTTGTGTTCAGCAGTATAGCCCTGCAGATTATATAGTTTGGATTCTGACTCATAGATCCATTTTTCTATTATTACTATTATTGGTGGCTCATTATGTAAATGTTTCAGCGCTTCCAAATCTTGAAGCTTGTTTCTTAAACTCCTAATATCAACTCTCAAATTCAACAGGAATTTTGGAATGTAGCTTAATATTTATATTCTAGCTGGGTAGTTTCTATTGACTGGCTTACTTTTGAAGATCCTTTGAGAAAAGTATTCGTTTTGGTGGACTCTCATCGGTCTTCTTTATAAATACTTTCCCATTAGCATAGTAGGCATATTTATAATTCTTTTGGTTTTTATATTCGCGGGCTTCTTTAAGTAGCTCCTGATTTTGCTTTGTCAAATCATGGTTGATGTATATTTGTCTGTTTGGTCCTTTAAACCCACAGTCCCTAGCAAAAATACTCTTGATTTAATCTCCTTTTTTCAGTATTTGCTGCTTTATCTGCAGGGTTCTACATTTGATTAATATGGGTTTAAGATCAGCTTGGGTGTTGATTCTGTAAGTAACAGTAATATCCTCGTCAGGAAGTCTTAGTCCCATTGCTGATAGTAAGGCAGCAACTGTTTCCTCCACTGTTTTTCCATCTTGATGAGGTATTCCAGGGATAACCAGATTATTCTGTTTTTAAATTTGCTCCTGAACATTCAACTTGTGCTCCAATATTTGTACACTTTGCTGGAGACCCTTGTTTCCTTGCTGGATGCTATTGTTCACCACTAGGTACTCTTTGTATGCTTCACGTTGCTTTTCAAATTTATCAGACATGTAATCTATGCTTGCCTTGAGCTCCTTCATTTAAGTATCATATTTTTTGATTAATTTTTCTTCAAAACTTTTCAATTTTCCGGATAACATCTTTTTAATTTCTAAAACTAGTTGTTTATCCATAATTTCTTTTTTATTCTTATGTCTTGTTGACAACAAATAACAATATTGTCCTTATTAATTAACTTTATACTGCTTTCCGCAACTCTTATGGTAAGAGGACTGGCAAACTAGACAGTCATATTACGACTCTCTTACTTCTTTTTCACAAAATTTGCAACTTTTCACCAACTTATTGCTGGACATTGAAAAACAATAATAATAGTCATGCGAGCAACATAACCTTTTTTATATTACTCACACCTTTGCGTACATAATTTATACATATATGATGGTCATTATATATAAAAAAAACAAAATGGTAAATAATAACTAATAGTAATTATTCTAGTTCTGTACTTTGTTTGTATGACAATCATAAATATATATTTTTTTTAAACTCTTACATAGACCTCATGAAAGCGTCGGTAAGCTGCATCGACATAAAGTGAAATTACCAACCCTCCGTTGTCGACATAAAATTGCCCTGGATGCATTTACACTGCAACAAAACGGAACACAAAATCGTTCATCAATCATCCTGAAATTTTAAAGCGTGTTTGTTCGTCGAAACTGTTTTTTTTTTCTTTGGTTATCCATTAGTTGATATTCGTCAGGATTATTTCACAACTGGCTTAAATTTTTCTAAATTAAAATACAATTAGGCATAGGAAAGTTTGTAGATTTCTCCTATCACAGTTTTTCATAGACAAATTCGTAAAGTCATGGTCAATTGTTGCGTGACGCCGAAAATGGATTTCATAAATGAATAATGTATTCCGTCTTTATGTTGCCTCAAAATTGGAAATTGTTTGGGTTGTGGATTATTTACGTTGAACCAAGAATATTATATTCGATTCGATTTAAGCGCCTAGACTCATTGACAGCCGAAGCAGCGATACCTATTTTCTATCCTCAATAATTCAATTTTGAATCGGCTCACATTTTATTCAACTTTGACCCAATTTATGCTTATAAGTAAACAACTTATGGCTCATGGTCGTAAAAACTTGGATTTTTTTTTTAGCCAAGCTACCAGTTTTAGTAGTTTTCTAAGTTCACATAAATGCTGAAAAATTTCTTTGTGTTTTGGCCTCTATTTTATAAGTGTGTCGCCTATAAAAGTTTCATCTTGGGACCGGTGTACACTTGAACTAACGAGATGAAGCCAGGCCAATGAGAAAAGCACAAACATAAGGTACGTTTTCTCTTTGCGATAGACGAACTTTCTAACAGGACAAAAGTTTATATTAATTTAGTATCTTAAAATAAATTTGTATATATAAACATTGAGTTGTCCCGTGACAATTATTTTACTTTGAAAGCAAGATGGGGAATTTCGAAAATTTAAAAGCATTCATTAGTAAGTTTGAAGTGAAATTTATTTTAGTTAGTGAACGCTGCGACCAGAAAATCCGCTGTGGCTCATTATTTGACTTTGAGTTTCGTCGTGGGATTTTCGTTAATTTAGGAAAATGAAGAGTCGGTTCACAGATTTTTTTTTTCATGTCATTACTGGTTCAATTTTTACAAGGATTTACTTGAAATCCTTTACAAAATCCATTCCTATACACGTATCACTCAAATAAACAACAATGCCTTTCCGTTCTAATAATTCTAAAAGCTGCCGCAGGCTCTGTGCCATCAAAACATAAAAAAATGTGACAAAAAATAAAAGGATTTATATATTATTTTATGAAAATAACAAATCAATGATGCGTATATATACGTATATTTAAATTATTGCGATGGCAAACATCTAGTAATTTTGTTTATGAACTGAAAAATCTACATACGATTTGGTAAGAATCATCACCGCAACCTTTCTCAGGCCATTCCGTATCTTATTCTCAACTTGAATCATCACCGAAAATAAAATTATTTTTTCCAGCTTTTCTTCAATCTTTTTTCACCTCTCTAGTGGCAGCTTTTTCCTCGATTTTTCATTATCCAGTTGTTTTGAGTAGGTTGGTTTGTGATGGATTGAGGGTTTGTACTCGTAATACTGTAAGACAGTTCAGTACAAGTTACACATAATTATGGATAAATTTTGAGCTTTCTCGCCTTTTGCCTCAATGCAGACAGAAATAATTCAACTTGATATGTTTATACTGTAACGTTTTTAATTACTTTGGATTAAAAAGATGTTATTGTTCACGGCAGCTGTTCATCGGAAAGCATTACTGGTCGTGTATAGGGAGTGTTTACTGAGGGCGCCACGAAGTTATTATTTATAAGGTCTCAAACATCAAAATATTAAACCTGAAGTAATATGTATAAAAAAATAATAATACAGCAACACTCTCCACTTAATTATGTTTAATAAAAGTACAATGAGACATTACAAAATTTAGGATGTCAATTTAATGAGAATCATATATGTAATTTCATTCCAACCCAGTACCACCCTTAACTAAATATTATTGTGTAATATAATAATAATGAACGATCATTTTCTTTAAATTAGGGCCCTCTCTACTGATCTATCTGCCCTCAAAACTCACTCACATGCTCGACCGGACAGTGAACTGAACATAGAAATGACACATTCCAATTATTAGGCTATGCTTAATAAAAAATATACAATATAAAATGACCTCGTTGGGTCTATCTGCTCTGAAAATTCATATGCTCAACCGAACAGCGAACTGAACATAGAAATGAGACATTCCAATTAGGTAATGCTCAATAAAAAATATAAAATGACCTTGTTGAGCCTATCCGCTCTGAAAATTCATATGCTCATTCGAACAGCGAACTGAACAGAGAAATGAGACATCATGAAAGTGATTTCAGAAGTAGGAACACATGAAGTTTAGGGTAGCATGCCTCTTTAGTGAATGGGGCCAATACTAGGCCTAGATGTGAGACCATATCAGAAAAATAAATTACTGACGGTATATTTTTATCTAAAGAAAAGTGAAATAGACAAAAAGCTTGTCTTTTAAGTTCATAATAAGAAACAGAGTACATGACTCACCCTGAACAAGGGGCTTCTCGTATACCATGATTTGGTGCACAATACAGGCACTGGCACCACCAGAGGTGGTTGCAGATAAAGAAAGGCTGGAGAAATAACTATAAGCTTAAGGGATTTCCAAGATATAAAAGGATTTGTCACATACCTGGCATGTTCCACAAAAATCACAGAAAAAAGGTGGTCGAGTCGAAGAATAAAACTATTTATTTAATAAGCCATAAATGGCACTCCGAACCACAGAGACAGTTTGAAGGATTCACCCTTTCAAGAAACTATCAGGAAAACTGAGCAGGAATAATATTATTCGAAAGGATATAGAGCTGGGCGAAAATCATTGAATAGAGATGGTATGGTGCAACCTGAATGGAAGTAGTACTTACATAAAAATCAAGTTGACTCCTATTTACAATTTAAACCAAAATTTAAATAGAAATATGTGAACTTGCTTGAATTACACATACCTAAAATATTAATAAAATGACAAAGTAGCCTAATTGCTACAATACGTCTACAAATTAATCTAAAAATTGTTCTTGAACAACCTCCACATATCCTGTTGGTTGTTGAGTTGAAATTGTCACATGGTTGAAATTCTTAAATTATACTTATCAACTAAACTATTAATATCATCATATCGCCCTTACCTTTTTCACAAAATTCGCCCTCGTAATCGGAATTGCGGCATTCGCAGATGGGACCGCTGTCGGTTGATATGCATATTCCGCCATGTTGGCAGGGGTCCCTAGCTTCACACGCGTCGCTGCTATTGCCTCGTAAAACCTGCAAAGAAATATCGTAACGTTGTTAATTCTGTTGCCGTTTCTCGTTTCGCAAATCCAATTATTCTATTACGGTTTTTTTTTTTCGTCATAGAAAGCTTGTTTTGTGGTTATTATTGAGTTAAAACCCCTTTCTGGTGCTTCACATCAAATCCCCCAAGTGTAAAATGGTTGGTATTTTTCATAAATTACTCTCACCTTGTTGGATTATGAATCATAATTGTCTTTTTTAATTTGAAAAATTGTAACAACCTCAAGCAATTCTCAAACCACTCTAAGCGGCCGCAGTAGACCCGAAAGCAGACATTCGTTATCGAGATAATTTCGGTTTTTAAAATTCTAGCTATTACACGCTCCAGCGATGCCGCAGGAAATTTTACATGCACATAAAGGTCTTGTTTAATAATGTACAAAGTTGAGCCGAAAACCTTCCCAGTTTTTATTTTTAGGATGATTTTCCTGCAGCAATATCTCTGCTTGTATCTAATTGTTTTTCTTTTATTTGGAAAATGTGATATTGAAAATTTGGGACAAGTTACAGTTTAATGATAGACGTCTGCTGAATTTTTAAAGAATATTATCTCTACAGCTTTTTAAATAATTTCAGCTCGTTCGCCGCATGAATTCCCTAGGAATTTGAATAATATATGCCGCAGTAAAGATAGCTTAGGATTTTCGAAACTTTGCGATTATTCTGCTATGGAGCCTTGTAAAAAAAAATTGTATATACACATTTACATGGAAATTTGTTTTAGTTATATAGAAGTTCATTGATAATTGGCCCAGGTCAAGGATGATGATGCGTTTTCGGGTTATGCTATCTAACTTACCCTACTTACGAACTTTTTTATGTGAAGAATCAGTTTTGGATAGGAGTTTCATAAAATCCATTTTAAGTAGGGATCTACGTCGAGAAAGGAGTATAAAAATTCCATATTTTGAGTCAATTGGATGTATAGTGTTGTGAGATCTCGTGATAAGTGGTATTCCGCTGTTATACACACATAGATTTTGCCTTATCATGTCCCAATAATTGCATTAATATGAATGTGCTCTATTTGGGGCCCAAACTTTTTCCGTATATTCTGGTATTCCCAACCCTGCAATAACTAAGAGAGGGTAGTAGCCAGACGCCCAATTCCACTATCAGTTAGAAAATCTGAGCTCTACTGAAATACCGTTAAAACGCTGTCCTCAGCTCGCAGCCAAGATAATCGGTCTGCATTAAGCTAAAAATTCGCCTAACATATATACCTTTCATCTTATTTATTAAAAAACAAAATGAAAAAAATCACCGCAGATGAGCCTCGTTCGAAAAATACTACAATTTAAAACTTTCCAAAGAAGCCAGCTTTAAGTATATTTATTTGTAGTTCTAAAATTTGAATACTTATCTAAACTTCGAAGTAAGCAGAGGACGGCAAATGGCGCAACTTCCAGAGAACTTTAAAACTCAAATTGCAGAATTAAGCTCGGTTCGTGTCTGAAATAAATCGTGGATTTCTACTTGCGTTTTTTTTTTATTTCCAAATTCTGGATGGCATTAAATTAATATTCATAGAAGCGCACCTTCTCGATTTCTAGGTCGACGAAAGGAATTATTCGTTCCAGAACAAGATGCGTACGCCATTAACAAATTACTTTTTCGAAAACAATGATTCAATTCATCAGATCAGTGGAGGAGAGTGTGGTTCATTCTTTTCGTGATTGATTGACTGATTTGAAAGAGGATCCTTTACAGGAAGCACGTAGACGCGTATGTTGCCCATTGTGCTATCCCCCTCTTGGAGCCCGCTACTTTTAAGAAAGGTACAGATCTGTTCGGGTCGGGCATGCTTTATTTCATCAGGTTCCAGAAACCTGTAGCAGGTGTATCGTAGTCTGCGACTGACGAGGGCGCCACATTCGCAGATTATATGCTTGATAGTTTCATCTACTTTGCTGCAGAACATCCCGTCTTATTATTGAGTTTGATATTAGGTATCTGACCACCCAGAACCCCATCAGGACGCCTGTGATTATGGCTCTTGCTTGGCTCCTGTTTAGTTTGAGGAGGCTTTTTGCCTTTTTGCAACTTGGGGGTTCTTGTACAAAGATCCTTGACTGTTGGACGCCTCTTCGATTCAGCCATGCATCCAACGACCAGTTCCAGATCTTGGTTTTTCCCTTCGAGGAGCTGTGAGACCTGGCCGTTGATGGAGGGGCCCAGCGACTGACCATTTATTTGCATCGGCCAGTCGTTGCTAAGGACAGCTCAACCTCAGGAGCTCATGGTGGTGACCACGGCAGCTGGCATTGTCGAGGTAACCTGGCCGGATCTGGACTTTTCTTCAACTTGCCTTGAGTCAGATCCCCTTACTTTCTTCTTTCCTATAAGATTTCCCTTGATCAACCTCTTCACTTCCACCCCCAACGCTATTAGAGCTATTCGATGGCTAGGGACCCTCATTCTTATAATCTCGTTCTTCTTTCTTACAAAACAAAAATAAACAATGATGTACCACAGCAAAGAAATGGAATCGTTTACGGTGCAGAGGAGGATACTCCAGTAGCGGTCGGGAACTCTGGTGGAGGTGCAGGCCAGACTCGACCGTCAACCGCTGACTGGTAGGGAACCAGGTCAGGGTGCAAGTGCCAACGACTGGAACTAAGAAGACAGAGTGGTCTATAAACTTTGAGCAAATGAACACTGTATCGAGAAAAGCATGGTTAGAAAGACTCTGTTATGAAAACGCAAGCACAACCCAAGGCACATGCGCTACCACATCCTGCAGCGTCTCTACATAAGAAGATGAATATGCCATTAAACTAGATTTTGAAGAGATGGTCATTTACCAGAACTGGAAAGAACAAGCGGACCTTGAATGGATCGAAAATGTATACCTGAACACCAAAGTTAGACAGGGGATGCCACTAGACAAAAAGGACAGCACAATCAAAGTGGTTTTTGTGGGACCAGATGAGTCTGACATGTCTAAGGGCATCCAAGGCAAATTCAGAGAAAAGTATCCCGAGCTAATGCAGATTGAGGAAGCATTGGGCATATTAAAAAAGACATACACAATAAGAACAGCCAAAGGAAAGCAAGACGTGTCGAAGAAGCTTATAAAAATCACTCACAATGAAAAGGAAGAAGACATATTCGAGAAAATATAGGCGCTAAAAGAAGAGACAGCGAACGAGAACTGGGTAGCGGTGCATAGCATACCAACATTAGGACTAAGAACACTTAGAAACATGCTGGAAGGAATATTCCACGGATCAAACGCGCATGTAATAATATACCATGTGACAAAAAAATCACTCATTAAAAGTGTATATTTTTTAACAAATTTTCTACATATGGTAATGGTGTAAAAATAACAATTATTATTGATTGAATGTTACTTTATTTGTGCATTTTTTATTGAAATAAATCTCATTTCTAATAGCCCAAGCATATCTACTGAATTTGGTTTAACAAATATTTATACTTGTATGGGGTGATGCGTTTTTTTTGTCACACAGTATATATACAGTGAAACTTCCCTAACTCGAATCTTCAAGGGACAGGAAGTCGAGTTCGAGTTACAGAAAATTCGATTTATGAAAAAATACACAAAATTGAGGATATTTGAATTTATATTATGTATGTAGTACAGAAAATTAGTTACATATACATTATATAAACCAAGACAATTCTATCTGTCGCCGCTGGTCACTGAGAATTGGTAATTTCCCTAAGTGCACTAAATGCAGTAGGTGCTTCCCAAAAAATTCGAGTTATGGTTACTTGTCGACACGGTTGCCACCAAATTTTAGTTCGAGTTTTAGAAATATTCGAGTTATAGAGATAAGAAGTTCGACTTATGGGAAAAAAAAATACATAGTGAGGTTGTGAAAACCTATTTGTTTGTGAAGAAATCTCGATTTAGAGAATATTTCGAGTTCGGGAAGTTCGAGTTAGAGAAGTTTCACTGTACTTCAAACCAGAGCAACCCTGAAGGAAGAGAGAAAAAGACCTACGCCCTGATCGTCGAGGACAGTGGCAGGTGATATAACGAAACATTAAAGGACGTCAAGAGTCAACTACAGCACAGTACAGTTAAAGAAGAAATAAGAGAAATAAGGAGTACCAAGGGCGGCAAACTTATCATAACTACCGCAAAAGATGCTGACATATTGGACATGATTCAAAAAGCCTTACACGACCCGTCAAAACCCACAAACGTAACACATGGTGGAGGCGTAACACATGATGGCGGCGTGACACATGGTGGAGGCGCCCTCTTTCCTGAACCACCTCGATGACCTAGCCAAAGAGTCGATACCAGAATCACCCCAGAAGACAGAAAGCCAAGGGGGGCACTAAAGAAGACAGAAGAGGAGGAAACATAAGTGATCACAATCAAATTCAACATTCCTTGCGAAATTTAAAATAGCCAGTCGATAAAACAAAAACACCGTTATGCATAACAAGCAATAAACTGGTGACCCACTTCAACTTATACGCACAGGTCTATGTACACACACAGCGTTTCCGAAGCAACAGAATACGACGCTGATTGTCTAATTTAGAAAAGTTCACCATCAAGTCAAGAAAATAGTAGAAGACAATAAATTCGAACGGATGAGTGAAAATGAGTCCGAACGCTGAAAGCACTCACATTGCAGACGAAATATTTCAGCTAAGAACAAAGCAAAAATTGGATGTCTCAGAGAAATTTTAGGACCAGGAATAAGTAACTATTCAAAATATGTAAGTGAAGTAACGGAAACAACACTGAAAATAATCTAGAAGAAACTGTTGTAGAAGTAAACCAGGTTGCCCCGAAAAACAAAGACGAAGACGCAGATTTGTCCAACAAAAAATCACCAAACAAAGAAACACCAAACCGGAAAATACAAGCAGCCATGGCGAATATCACAATCTAAGACGCAACCGCCACTGGTAGAAAGGCGACCTCAATTTATAAGCCCTACAACTTTTCACTCATGCAGAGTTAACGCTAATGACTTTCT